AGTAAATATTTTAGCAGCCCGGCTCAGTCCTGGCTCGCGCCGGGTCCGGGACCTACCCCTGCTGCGGCTCTGCATTTAAAGTGCATTAGGAGCCAGGCAACCCGGCTCAGTTCTGGCTCAGGTCGGCTCCGGGAGGTCAGCCCCCCCTCCTCCCTCGGGCAGGGGCTGCCCGCCCCCCGGCAGCAGCGTGGGGCGACAGGCAGCTGGTCCGTGAGGGGAGCTGATAGAGGCAGCAGCGTGGAGTGGCACGGGCCAGAGCACACTGGCTGCCAGCCCCGCCCCCGGGGACTATAGAATAGTCGAGTAACCAATCAGAATTCACGAGGTGAATCGATTGTTCAATTCACTGATATTTAACCGCAGACACACCCTGGGTGAAATCGGTCTCAAGGAACTCCGGCCGTGCGCTCTCATAGGTTCTTCTGGCCTGCAGGGCTGCATGATGACTTTCGTGGGCCCTAGGCACTTCTGCCTTCATGGGCCCCTTCCTCCATTAAAAAAAAAAAATTTGAAATAATTTTTGATATAACTTTAAATACTTCAACATTTTATTTTTTTTCTGTTTTAGGCAAAATGTAATAGATTTTCGTAGGCCCTAAAAGTTCATTTTTTTTCTTCTGATTGTAAAAGAAATTAAAACATTTTCGTGGGTCCCTAAAAGTATCGTGGGCCCTAGGCACTGTGCCTAATGGATAAGTCGGCCCTGCTGGCCTGTAAGTCTAATCGTGGCATGTAAAAGGTAAGACAATCCTTTTCGACAACGCTCTGGATGCTTCCGCTAGAAAGTCTGGTGATTTCTGAGGGAGCGCTACTGAACTGACAATCTCTAACACCACTTTGTATCTCCTCCTGCAGCTGTTTGATTCAGCTCCGAGAATGGCCACTGCAACGTGGATTTCAACCAGAGCCGGTCTCGTGCTAGATTTTAAGCCTATCCAGGCGAGGACTGCCGGCACAGGTTTCGCTGAACACGACGGCTGACACTTGTCTGAAGCAGCCACGCAAGCTCGCAGTAAAAAAACGACGTGATGGGTAAAAACGGGTTGAAACATAAGTCACACGGCATTTTTCATCCCCAAGCATGTCAGTGGATGGGCCTGGTCCTTCTCCTATTGATTTCTTTGCTACAGAATCTGATCCCTTTATGCACACGGCCGCCGTGAAATGCAGCCACTTCTGGGGTAGCAGAAAGGCAGATGCCCCAGCCCAGGGTAGTCAAATACTATTAGGAGCAAGCAATGGGATGTTTAGTGGCCACATAATTATTGAGAGGCCCTTGGGGTTGAAGTTTCCATCTTAATATACCTGCCCATTTCCATCCCAAAGTTATTTGCTTAAGAGGTGGTATGGCTGCAGATGTCCTTATGGCAATTTTCCTGGGGTAGAGGGTCCATTCTAAAATCCTTTTAAATCTTTTGCAGTTCTTGCTCCTACGTGCATGCCACGGATGAACAAGTAACACCCCTGAGATCACACACGTGCCTTCCCGTTAATAATGGGGGCTGGTAAAAGCTCCCGCATGCTAAGGTTGATGCAGCCGCTGCTGTCACGGTGGGTAGGTCTACACTTAATACACTGCACTGCTCCAGTGAACACCCCCTGCCTGTATCTTCTCCTGTTGGCATTGGGTGCTACACCTCTCCAAGAGGCAGTCGCTACAGCAGCAGAAATCTCACATTGACTTTAACACTGTCTGCAGTGGTGATATATGTGGTCGTGCCAATTTTCTTCCACTATTTGATCTGAGGAAGTGGGTCTGGCCCACAAAAGCGCATCACCTAATAAACCATCTTGTTAGTCTTTAAAGTGCTACATAGTCCTGGTTTTTGTTTCAGCCAGACCAGACTAACACGGCTACATATCTATCAGTATTCAGTGGTGGTATGTGTGTGTCGGAGGGCGGGGGGGTTAGGTTGATTTAACTGTGTCAGCGGGTGTGGATTTTTCACACCCCTGAGCAACACTAACCTAGTTTCCTAGTGTAGACCAGGTCAGTAGGTTGAGAGTTAAATAAGTTGCTTTCTTGCTGCAGGACAGTGACTAATTTGGTAAAGAGCACTAGCATCACAGGTAGATGTAACCCTCCCCATCACCCTAGTATTTGGGCACCTGCATTGCTAGGGAGCTTATCTTCCATGCTGAATTAGGGGAGTCTTACAAAAACAGCTTCTCTGAGACTTTGGGCCAGTCTCTTCATCCATGCTGGAAAGGACTGTAGACCTCTCGCTCCAACCCTGAACCATACACCCACACCCACACCATCTCTATGACCTCCTATGCAATCTGTATCCGGCCTGTCTGGATGAAATCGCTACAGAACCTATGCTCTGTGGAGGGGGAAAAACAAAGCATAGATTAGAATCAGAGGGACTTGCTCTAAGTTGGGGGTGGGGAACCTGAGGCTTGGGGGCTCCCTCCCCCCAGCATTGGGGAACCCACACTGCTGCTCCAGCCCCCCCATTTCCTGCCACCCTCCTGTGGGGCTGGAGCACACAGTCTACTTGGCTGGGCCTCCCCTAGACTCTGGTGTGCAAGGGGAATGTCTCTCTCAGTTGGAGGCCACTTCAGAAAGCGTTTGGAGATTTATTTTTGCTTCTCACTTGTGTGCATTCCCCCCCCCCCACACCAATTTTTCAGTGAATCAGTGGACCCCACCCCAGAAACAGTTCCCTACCTGGGCCTAAGTCACACAGCTGGTCTTAACCCCCAAGACAACCCAACACCCTTTCTACTGGATCACATAGTTTAGCATTTAAACTCAGTGCATTTTCAATGGGACTGGACAGACTTTTCCATGGAAATTGTAGGTGCTTTAGGCCCTCCAAAAATAAATAAAATTAGGTCAGTGATCAAAGGCAGGGACTGTCAGTAACGTCTACACTGCACTGCAGGTCAAAATAAGCTACGCAATTTGAGCTAGGCAAATGACGTAGCTTATTTTGATGTTATGCAATAGCCTGTTTCAAAATTTGGCGCTGTCCACACAGCGATTTATTTCGAAATAGATCGTGATTCCAAAACGTCCCTCACACTTTGTGGAATGAGGTTTACAGGGACATCAGAATAGTGAGCCATTTAAAGGCATGCTCAAAAGACACGGAATAGCTATTTTGGGATACCCTCGCTATCCTGAAATAGCTGCTGTGTAGATGTGGCCTCAGAGGCTGTGTCTAGACTGGCAAGTTTTCCCGCAAAATCAGATGATTTTGCGGAAAAACTTGCCAGCTGTCTACACTGGCCGCTTGAATTTCTGCAAAAGCACTGACGATCTCATGTAAAATCATCAGTGCTTTTCCGGAAATACTATGCTGCTCCCGTTCGGGCAAAAAGTCTTTTTCCGAAAGACTTGCGCAAAAGGGCCAGTGTAGACAGCATAGTACTGTTTTCCGCCAAAAAGCCCCGATCGCGAAAATGGCAATTGGGGCTTTTTTTCAGAAAACCGCATCTAGCTGGGCCAAGGACGCTTTTCGGCAAAAAGTGCTTTCGCGGAAAAGCATCCTGCCAATCTAGACGTGCTTTTCCGAAAACGCTTTTAACAGAAAACTTTTCCATTAAAAGCATTTCCGGAAAATCATGCCAGTGTAGACGTAGCCAGAGGGTTTAGTAGTCTGCACCTAAAGTGACTGCCTCTTCTCCCAGTTATTCCACCCCGCTTTAGCAGTGAAACTGGGAAGGTAACACTTTCACACAGCATCCTCAAACACACCCAGCTCTGAAGCATCACATTCCGAGTTCCCCGCCCCTCCCCACCTTCCCGAGTAGAGAAGTTTCCACAGAAGGCAGCTTTGATTATTTCAATGGTAGTCTTTATTAAAAATGTCACCCCACGGGGGTTATCGCAGCATCTTAAATTGTACAAATATAAACTTTTGCAAAAACAAATACAAAACAGTAGAAAAATGGAGTACACCCGATTTGTGTCACGACAGGCCAAAGAGCTTGGCTCTGCCAAATACAGGTAAGTAACACTTAGGACATGCAGTGCTGGGTTAACGAATACACAAGAGTAAAAAGAAAGTGCTTTTTCTATGTCATGGAGGGCAGACCAAGCAGGAAAAGATGGAGACCCCTCCCCTCTGCCCAAACCTTCCCCGCCATTGTTTGGTTTAACATGCCTCCTGGTTATGTGCCTTTGGGGTCTGGACATTGCTTGGCACCATGAAGTTTTGGTCAGAGTAGGAACATTCGCAGGGTTTGCCTGGGCTCGAAGGGGTTGTGAGCTGTCCCCGAATTGCATCCCACCTCTGTACACCTGTGGAGGCCAGTTGAGCTAAGCCATAGTGATGGCTGGATAGGAGGTCTTTGGCGTGCATTGGTTTCGCTCTCACAAAGGAAGACCAAAAAAATTTAAAGTAAAAATAAAACAACCCCAAAAGAGGACGGAGATAGTGATTCTTCACAGCAAGATCATGGAGTTTTAGCTTACACTTGTGTTTAGCAGCCTCAGAAAATGCAGTCACATAATAAATGCTACCAATTATTTTTTTTAAAAAGTAATGACACTGCTTTGAACTGTAAAAATCTTTTGCTTCCGAGACCGTTGGACTGGATCAGGTTTCATTTGCTTGTTACAATGAAATTCAGATATGCAGCAATATCCCTGCATATTCAAAATAAACCTTTACATTCTTCCCCCCTTCCACAGGTCTGTTGCTTTTTTCCTTGATTACTATTTGATCTCTTCTACTTATTGCCAAGACAACTGTTTCCACCAACACCCAAAATCCTCAACAGGAGGACTGTAAAAAGCTTTGAGGTTTATGGTGATAGGCACAAGCAACAACCCTGCTAACATAACAGCACAATAAGTTTACAATCCTAAACTAGCAAATTTCATTGAAATCTTCAGACTCTCAAAAACATTGATAAACAGATCACGTGATCAAACATCACTGATCATCAGTACAGTCTAGTAACAGATTCAAGGCATGGTGCCGGTCGTTTTTAAGTCAGAATCTGCGACTTCGTGCCTCTCCCTAA